TTTAATTTTTTATATATCTTTATTGACTTTAGAGAGAGGAAAGGAGAGGGAGAGAGAGAAACATCCGTGATGAGAGCCATTGGTGGAGCCCGCAGCCCGGGCCTGTGCCCTGACCGGGAATCGAACCCCGATCGCCGGGTATCAGGTCGAGCGCAGCCGCCGAGCCGCCCGGCCCGGCTCCTGATTTTCAAATACCAGCAACTGTTCACCTAGAAATAAAAAGCCGCTCAGGGGGAGAGCAGCGGCACCCACCCGAGGTCAGGAAGAGCAGCTCCTGGGAGCCTTGACTCGGGCAGAGCCCGGACGGTGCCCCCGGAGAAGACAGGCGGGTGGTGGAGAGGGGAGCGGCTCCGTCCCTGGGGGGAGCGGCTCCGCCCGGTGAGCCGGTGACGCGGGAAGCGGATCGCGCTGTGTTTCGGCCCCGCTGGCGGCCCTGCCTTATCTCTGCAAACAGTTCTGGAAGCCAGGCTGCGCGCTTCCTTTGCTCAGCTTCATGGGTGAACGGGCGGTGCCCTCCTTCCCCGCTGAGTGGCTGCTGCCAGGTGCTGTCCCTTTGCAGTTAGGACACTGTTTTATTGTTGTGACATTCGTGTGCGGACAAGTCCTGACCTGGGAGAGGTGAAGGGCTCTCTCCCAGGGAGGAGGCGGTGTGCGCCCTGTCCCCCGTGGTGGCCGCTGGCGAGCAGAGGGGCTGGGAGCCAGGAGGGGTGGGACACCCAGGACTCCCGCAGTCGGCACGGGCCCGGGCACACCTGAGTGCCCCTCCGGTCTCCTGGGCAGCCCTGCAGGGCCGGCCCCTCCACTGCCTCTCAAACCCCATTTGGCAAACAGACACATCTGGGGGACACCTATTGCAATTTCTGAACTCAAGGACCGAGTAGTGGCCGTCCGGTGTCCTGGGTAAGGCTCCTTCAGAGTCCTGCTGTCCAAAGCAAGGCTGAAGACCACCTGGGGCTGGTTGTGAAGGGCCGAGTCTTCCCCACCCGTGCTGACTGATACCTTCAGTGACCCTGTGTCCATGGGAAATCCCTAACCTCGAGAATGTCAGAGGGAAAGGGCAATTACAGGCCCTGGAGCGGGGACCCCTCTCAGCTCTCCTGGGACTGCAGAGAAGTTCTGATACCTGCCTGGGATATTGTAGGTCCACAGATTTGATCTGAGGACTCACAGTTTTCTCCCAGGACTGGGAGGATAATCATACATGAGAGCCGGGTCTGAATTATTTGTGGTTCATAAAAACCCCTCATCTGACCAAAGACATTGAGCAATAGGCTGCCTGAAATGTCATCTGTTCCCTCAGCAACTGTTTGCATGAGTCAGCCCAAGGGAAAGGGGAGGAGAGCCCCGGCCTGGCTCCAGCTGAAGCTGAAGCTACACTTTGATTTTACTTCCCAGCCTTGCCAGCTGGGGGTGCTCTACCCCCACGACCCTAGGCAGGGCCCACCCTGTCCTCCTGCCCTGCCATTTCCCCACCAGCCAGCTTGACCAACAGTCTTCTGACCCCTGGAATTGTAATGCCATCGTTCTGGAGGTCGAGTCCTGCTCCCGTACGGACCATGAGCACTCAAGGGCCTGGAACCGCTTTATTTTTTTTATTCTGTGGCTGTCTCATCTCCTGCCTGGTCCCGGCCCATGAGCAGAGGTGGGTCGCCTTTTAAAGTGATAGCTTTTGGAAGCCAGGGGTGTAGATCAGTAGTGGGGTGTTGACCTAGAGCCATCATGTGGAGAGTCTGCAGGGTCCCCGCCCCGGGCAGTTGGCACACAGCCCTGCAGAGTCTAGCCTGTCGGTGCCTCACCTGGCTTACAGCCAGGAGTCTGACACCTGCTCAGGGCCCCCCAGCGGGCAGGTGCAGTCCTGTGTGTCCCCCTCTCTGGCTTGGCCTGAGCCAGTGCCCTGTCACCCGGAGGACGCGGGGCTGGGACTTGCTGCACTCTGCCTGGCTCTTCCTCCCCAGCGATGAACACGGTCAGTTCCGCTGTCACAGATTGGAGGTTACTCGGGGGCGTGGTGGACCTTTCGTCCACTCTGCCGATCCTGCTTGCCTATTAACCAACCACAGCCCTGCTCTCTCAGCGACAGAGGACTTGTCACGTGACAGTGCTGTTGTCACCCCGCGGCAGAGCTTCGGTCCTCAGCAACCTAGGAAGAGTGAGCTGTGGGTGGAGACCCTCTCCCCAGAAGTCAAGCTGCGAGGCCGCCAAGATGCCCCTCGTGGTGGGAGACATCATGAAGCTGCTGTGCTCTGTTTCCGAGGCGAGGAAGATGAAGGCGGCCGTCAAGCACTCGGGAAGGGGCGCCCTGGTCACTGGTGCCGTGGCCTTTGTTGGTGGCTTGGTTGGTGGCCCACCGGGACTAGCAGTTGGTAAGTTCAGGTGCCTCACAGGGCAGCCAGCCTCATGGGTGTGGGACAAGGGCCTCAAGTCCACGAGGCCTCGTGTAAGTCATGCCCTGCGTAAGGAGCTGGTGAGTTGAGGTTGCTTTTATGACATGAGCTTTGTGTACATAATGTGTCCTGGTGAAAACACACATCCTTGTGTGTCTCACACCTGGAGGGTGCCCTGCCCAGGGATGTGCCCTGGAGTCAGAGATCTCAGGGTGTCCCTTGGGCAGTCTGCTCCCCCTTACCCCCGTCATCATTGTAGGTCGCCGCAGCAGGGACCAGGGAGGGAGCTGGGATTCGTGGGGCTCCTGCTAGAAGCACATACTGTCTGGCCGTTCATATCAGCTGTTCAGAGAGCGGCCCCATTCCCCAGTTGAAAAGTCCAATGCAGGAAAAGCAGCCAGCTGTCTTCAGTGTCACCTGCCCCTTGTCTTACAACCTGCTTCCATGTTGGAACCTGTTTCTGGCAACAAATGAGGTTTGGCTGATTTCCCATGGATCAGGGAGAATTCCTGGGTGACCCCAACAATGGGCTGTGGCTCAAACTGTGGGCTAGAGTGGGGTTCAAGCCTGCCTTGGGTAGGGGCCTGTGATGGACCCTGCAGCCAGGAGCACCTGCTGAAGGTGTGGCCTGGCACCCAGGCTCAGCACACATTTACTGATGGCCTCCTGGGTGCTGGCAGCTCGCACCAGGCTGCGGGGGTCTTGAAGAGTTTGGCCTCTTGGAAGTCCTTTCTGGAAGCTGGAGAGGTGACCAGTTTCTGCCCAGGGAGGCTCCTGTTCCCAGCATTTCACCAGTGTAGTGGGGAAAGCTCAGTGAGACTTGTAATTACTTGGTTTCCTCCCTGGATGCTGCTCTCCTTCCAGGCAGGGGGAGCCTGTCCAAGGGCAGTGTTCGGCCCCCAGGACATGAGGCTGGCCTCTCCCTGGCCAGGTGGGGGGTGTCCCCGGTGCCTCCCAAGATGGTGCTGCCTGGTGGGGCTGAGCCCGCTGTTTCTGCTCGGGAATGTGCCCACTCGTCATGACGGGACGAACTCTCAGCGAGCTCCCCAGGCCTTCATTTATGAACAGGCCCAAACTAACTGAACTTTCCTTGTCTCCTAGGGGGCGCTGTCGGAGGGCTCTTAGGGGCCTGGATGACAAGTGGGCAGTTTAAGCCCGTCCCTCAGATCCTAATGGAGCTGCCGCCTGCTGAGCAGGAGAAGCTGTTCAACCAGGTCACAGCTATTGTCCAGAACCTGGAGTGGACAGATGCCGTGCAGCTGACCATGCTGGTCATGGGCAGTGAGGCCCTGCAGCAGCGGCTGCTGACCTTGCTGGTGGGCTACATCACCAAGGAGCTCCAGGCTGAAGTGCAGTATGGCGACTAGCCCCCGGGGCAGGGGTCTTGCAGGAGGTGACGGGGGCTGGGCTGCCCCACTCTGCCCTGCATCACCTTAACAGCAGTGAGCTCCTGCAGAAGAGGTTCTGTTGGGCTGGATCCTGCTCTTGAAAATACCGATGAGGACCTCGTGTGGTGTGACCACATGCGAAGCAGGTGCCAAGCGGAGGTGTGCCTATGGCTGACACAGGGACAGTTTATGAGACCGCTCTCCCGACATGAGCCTGGAGGGTGTCGTGCTCAGCCACTGATCTGTGAAGGTGACTTCTGTCCCAGGCACCCATTGCAGGACTGGGCCCTGTCTGGGCCCAGGGTGTAGGGACCTGGCAGCCAGCCCTGAAGGAATCATGCCAACCTCCTGAGAGCACCCCTGCCCCCAGGCCCTTCCAAGTGGCCTGGGGGCACCAAGTGCACCCAGTCCTTCCCCACCAGCCTGGCCTTACTTTCCTTCTGGATTCTGCTTTTTGATTTAACTGCTTTCAGTACTAGGTGTTGCTCTTTGTAAGTGGTAGGATCAGGATCACAAACCATCTCTAAGAAGTTTCCACCCACTGGAAGTTTCTCAAACACTGTTCCTGCTTTTAGAACCACAGCTGCACTGTCTTCAGACATGATACATTTCCTGAAGTCTTTGTCCCACACCTTTCCTGTGAAGCATCTCTAACCCAGGCACCGTTTGCTCCCAGCAGGAACAAAGGGCAGGTATGGGGTTGATGGCTTTAAAACATGAAAGGGAGCCCTGGATTCCCTGCCTGTCACCTGCCTTTCCAGGCTGCTTGGGCCTCCCTATGCTGCCAGGGTGCACCTTCCCGGCCTCCCTGGGGGTACGGGGGCAGGGAGAGGCCCTCCAACCCAGGAGGGTCAGATCCCGCATCTCCACGTGTATAAAGAAAACTTGAGGGTGAATTCAAACCCACGGTGCTTAAGGAAGGATGGAGCCTTTGTCTCTCAGAGAATTGCTCTCCAGCTGCCTCATCCAGCACAGGCCATACTCCAGGAGTTGACCAGCTGCCTCAATCATTTCTGTGCTGCTTGAGGGGTGGGCAGGGAGGGCCATTTGGATGATTCTCTTCAGAGAAGGTGACTGGGGGTTATTCATGTGGGGTCCTCTGCCAGCCCCAGGGCCACAGGGGTCCCTGCCCAGAGGCCAGAGGTCCCACGTGGATGTCCACTGAAGCCCCTCCCCTGCCGGCCTGCCTTACCCCTGGGAAAACAGCATGGGGAGGAGATGGCCCCACTCCGGACCCAGCTGCGCTGGATGCTGCAGGCCTTGCTGAGCAAGTCGCCTGTGACTAGCTGGGGCCTGGGTGGCTTGCAGTGGGCTTTGGGCTGAGAGCTGCCCAGCCCTCGAGGCCCCGCTTCCTCAGGAGCTGAAAGTACTTACCTGGCTCTCCTTTAGGCTCTCTCAGCTCTTGGGCTTTTAGTATTTCCTTGTGAAAAATCTCCATTTCCTTATTTTTGAATAGGCCACACCAGCCTGGCAGAAAACCAGGCACAAACAGGAGGGTTCCTTCTCTGCCGATCCCGGCCCAGCCCCCCCCAGATGCAGCCCCTCTTATCAATCAACGCCTGTGCATTCTGTTTTAAAATCATGTTTGAAAATGAGTCCTTTCCTTTTATTTGTCAATGTTTATTGCTGAAGACTTGGACAAACCCAGAAGAGTGTAATAAAATAGAAAGTGCTACAAATTCCACCTCTCGGACAACCACTATTAAACCTGGTACATTTTGTGCAATCTTGTAACGCTACGTGTGTGTTTCTATCGCATTTTCATTCTTGCTGCTTAGGCCCCACTGAATCCTTTTGCCGATTAACATTAGTGCTATAACTTGGAAGTGTTGCCAGCGTGAGTGGCAGCTGTGAAATCTGTCGCACTTAACTGTCCCCGCCTGCTGCGGCTGCCATCGTGCCGCATGGACATTTTTGTGCTCATGTTCTGCTCATATTTTGGCTCATGAGAGATGGTCTGTAGGTAGATCCCTCAAAGTGAAGTTGCTGGTTTAGGAAGTTACAGTATTTTTAAGGCTCTTATTGTATTTGGTCAAGATCCCCTCCAGGGAAGCAGGACTGTCCGTGTGTCTCCCAGCCACGGGGTTCGGGCATCGCCGTGTGTCCTCACCCAGAAGTGGGATGAGAGTATCAACCTTTCTTAATTTGATGGGTGATTACCGATGTCTTGGTTCGGTTTGTTTTTCTCTGGATTGCGAGTAGGGTGCCGAGGGTCCCCAGGTCTGTCGCGGAGGCCCAGGGAGGTGCAGGGGCCCTGGCCTGAGCAGAGGGCTGGCTCTACCTGTGGCTGGTGGGCTGGTGGCAGGTGGTCTGGTGACTTTGCTGGGGAGCGGCCAGGGGGCTGGCCAGCGTGGTGAGGGGCAGCTTGGGGGGAAGCCTTGGTGGGGGGAAACATCAATTATACAAAGGAGCCATTGCTCTCAGCTGGTTACTAGCCTGCTCCAGTGTCGACGTGACGGTGTCGAGTGAGGTTTTTCACAGGCAGATGGTGTGTTTTTAGGTAGAATGAACTTTATCTTCTGCTTTCTGCACCTGGCTCAGAGGTGAGTGCGCGGGCTGCTGCAATGCAGCAGGGCAGGTGGCAGGGCTGGGCCCAGGCTGGAGGGAAGCTGGCCTTGCCCTGCACTCCCTTGGAGGTACCATCTAGTAGGCGAAGTGGGCCCGACATTTCCCTCCATCCTGGGGCACCTGCCAGGCCAGGATGTGGCTCCACAAGGGGCTGTTTTATGAGTCCCTGTGGAGGGGGTGGAGCATCCATGCCCTCTCCTGTTGTTCCACCCTCCCTGCACCTCCACCTGTCACCAACCCCAAAGCTCCCTAAACCCTGTACTTGTGGGATTTTTATGGACCTGATAATGGAGAAAATAATGAAATAAGCATTATTAAGAGAGCCGCTTGAAAAGGAAGTCTCATGGCTCAGTTCTTGGAACCGCCGTGAAGCCGCTCACCTGTTGCTACACTTGGCTCGGGCCAACTGCAAACCCCCTGGATCACTGACTGCCACATGACATCCAGGGACTTCCCTCCTTGTCGTCATGGTGACCAGATCCTTCACCTTAGAAGGGGCCCATCCATTTGACACTGTTACCCCCACTTACATAATAGGACTAATGGATCCCAGCTGACCTGGCCAACGTCCTTCAGGTACATGGAGGACCACAGTGAGAACAGCTTGTGGTTTTGCACTTTATAAACCCTGCCTTTCTTTGTTCCCCTCAGAGCACAATCTAGGTTGCTACCTGGATCTTGGCCCTGGGTCCTGGACTGTAATCTCGCCTTTGCCCAAATGCATGCAATCTGCAGCCCCTCTCTCTTTCTGGAGGATGGGGCACAACCGAAAGATCCACGCTTCTAGCTGTGGCCTGATCTTTCTGGTGCATACTCAGTGTTGCCTCATTAGAGCAAAGGACACTCCTGTCACGTAGGAAACTCCAAGGGTTTTAGCAGCTCTGTGCCAGGAACCAGAAGCAGGGATCAATACATGTTTTTTGCATTAGTTCACACCAGGGAATAGCAGAGCATGGCCGCCTGAGGGAGGGACACATGCAAGGGTGAGCCGCAGGTGCCCACCACCCTGAAGTCATTTCCACAGCAGGTGGCAGGGAGCTGGGAGCAAACCTGTGTTTCAGGGTGCAGGTACAGCACTAGTGCAGAACAGGGACAAGGGGAGCCTGGGCCTGTCCTGGGGTGACGGCCTGTCCCCCACCCTGCGAAGGGCTGGGTCCACTGTGCAAACCTGCCTCGGGCCCACTTGTCACTGAGCGTCACTGCTGGGACTCCTGCTCTTTGGGACCAGTTGCAGCCCAGGCCATGGGGACAGGGATTGTCAGCTAGTGGCTGCTAGGCCCAGGGCTGAAATTGTTTCTCTACTTCCTGGGTCAGGGGTGGGGACCCCAGGAGGCTCAGCTGGGAGAGAAGGAAGGCATTTTGGCATTTTAAGAATGTTGTAATTTGAAAACTGGATACAGGACATTACTGTGGGCAGCTAGGGGGGCATGTTAATCTGAGAAAGACCTGTGGACAGACAACTGGCCCCAGGCCCAACTCCCCTCCCTGTCCCTTGGGAGCCGCAGGGCAGGGTGGGAGCAGGACCTGTTCTCCGGAAAGCCTGCTCTTCAGCGTCAGGACATCTGGCAGGACCCCGAGCGGACACTTCAAGGATTGAAATTTCCCCTTGTTTTTGCCCAGAAATGTCTGGCTCTGTCTGCCACCCTGTGCTCTCTCCGGGCCTGCCTGTTGTCAGCAATGGAACATTCCAGAGCCAGCTCCTCGAGGTGGTCGGGGGCAGGCAGCAGGAGGAAGGATTCTAGAAGGACTCGGAACAGGGCCCTGGCCCCCTGGCCTGGAACCCACCGCAGGCAGTCCTCTCTCCTGTCCCAGTGAACGCTCACCTTGACCAGGTGAGGGAGGCCCCAGGGAGTAGGGCTGTGACCAAGAGGCTGCTGCCTGGAACCCGGCACCCCTTGCCCCAGCACCATCCTGGCCTCGGCGTCTGAGAGGGCACCCAATCTGTCTTCAGGAAGTTGCCCCTCACCCCGTGACCTGTTCCGCCCTGAGCCCTCTGCCCAGGCAGAACCGCCTGGACCAGTTTGTGGCCCCAGGGAGGCCAGGGGCTGTACACAAACAAGTCATTCTAGAGCACACCCCTGACCCTCCCCACCGAGTCTGGTCCCTCTGCCCCTGTGAGGAGGCCTCGGCAGGACCTGGGAGCCTATTCTTTACCCCTCCTGCCCCCACACCAGGGCAGCTACCTGTCAACGGCAAGCGGCAGCCTTGCCGCCCTGGGAGCCAGGCCCAAACTGCTAAGTCAGAGTCAATTCTAACAAAACGTTTGAGACCCAGCCAGAGAGGACAAGTCTTTCCTCGGGGACCGGACCCCAATGGTGGGGTTTCAGGCACCGTGCATGTGGGCTGGGAAGCTTTCCTGGACCCAAAGTCACTCCTTCTAGCTGGCAGCGAGCCCTGCTCTGCCACGAGCCAGGCGATGGGCAACGAAGGCAGGAGCAAACACTAGAGATTGTCTTAAAAGGGCCCGTGACTCTGTGGCCAGGGGTGGGCTAGGCTGGCATCCGTCTCCTGCCCCAACACACTGGCTGCACCTGAGGCTTCCCTGATCACCCGCCCCCACGGGGCCCGGACACAGCTGGACATGCGGCTCCTTGCTTCCTTCACTTGCTGTCCACCCGCTTGGAGAACTCACAGCAAGTTAACAGGGCTGCAGGCGCCAGGGTTACGGCCACAGCTCCCTGACCGACGCTGTATCCTTGGGAACCAGCCCAGGTGTGGTGCGAACATCTGAGCCCACTGCGCTACCCATGGTCCCAGGGATGCCGGCCTCAGGGACAGTTGTTCACTTTCTACTCATTTATTTTTTAAATCCTCACCTGAGGATATTTTTCCCATTGCTTTTCAGAGAGCGTGGAAAGGAGAGAGAGAGAAACACAGATGTGAGAGAGACACACCGATTGGTTGCCTCCTGCACGCGCCCTGACGGGGCCGGGGATCGAGCCTGCAACTGAGGTGAGTGTCCTTGGCTGGAATCAAGCCTAGCACCCTTCAATCCGCAGGCCGACGCAGTGACCACTGAGCCAAACCAGCTAGGGCACAGTTCACTTTTGCTCTCAGCGCGGTGCCACCCCTGAGCAGTATGAAGGACACCTGAACTCTTCAACCACACCTGTCTGTGAACTTCCTTTTTATTTTTAAGTCAGTCTGGACAAGGTTTCTATTACTGGAAGGTAAGAGTCCTAGTGGGAAACACTGCTTTCCCCAGCCACAGGGAAACGAGGAGTGAGAGCGATACCAGCCCCTGGATACCTGCAAAGAGGTGAGATGGGGCACAAGGCCTTGGCAGGCTGCCCTGGATCACGAGGAGCTCACACTGCAGTCCTAGCCTGGTGGGCACCCTCCTCATGGTAGTCTTGCTGGCTCTGGGTGAGCCCACATGCCCAGCCTGACAAGGCCCAACTGACCAGGCAGGTGGGCAACAGCAAGGTGGGTGGACGAGCCTTGGTTTCCTGGCGGCTCCCAGGGGCCATGCTATCCCCTGGAGGTGTCCTGTCTGGGGTCATGTGCTGTGGTTCAAGGCCTCAGAGGAGAGAGGACCTCACTCTGGTCTGTCTTCCCTCTGGTCCCTGGGGTCATGTAACCCAGGGACCTACAGGTCACAGGGCTGAGAAATGGCATTTGGTCCCAAGAGGCCTAAGTGTTTCGGGTTTACTGAATGGAAAGATAGTTACCTGATGTGGAAACAGAAAGACGTCATTGTCCACAAAAGAGGCGCTGAGGGTCCAGCGGGCAAGAGCGACTCCCGCCCACAGGCGGGGCCCTGGGGCCCTGGGGAGCTTCAGGGGCTCTGCCCTCTTGGGGGCCTGAGCTGTGGAGTCTGCGTGGGTGTGGAGGCGACTAGGGGGCCCGTCCCTCGGTCTGCGGACTGGGGTCAGCTGTGGAAGGAGGACCAGGAGACACCCGAGTCGTAGAACTTCACGCGGCTGGGCCAGTCGCCGTCCCCGCCGCCCTCCCTGTCCTCGTCTGAGTCGTCTCCGCTGGACGCGCCGCCCCCGGCCGGGGACCCTGCTCCCGGGCCCTCCTCCTCTCTGCGCTTCTGGGCGGCCAGCTCGCGGTAGCAGAGGCTGCAGACGCGAAGGGGCTTGGGCGACAGGCGGGGCAGCAGGAAACGCCCACGGGAGCACTCGGCGCAGACCACGAAGCCGCACTTGCGGCAGTGGTGGCGCCGCGTGAGCGCCGAGAAGCGCGTCTGTGTGCAGCGCATGCAGATGTCCGTGGCCTTGTCGGGGATCCAGGGCGCCGCGTGCTCCGTGCTGGGCGGGCGGCCGGTGGCCAGCAGCTGGCGCCGCACACACTCCTCGATGTGGCTGATCCACTCCTGGCGCTCCGTGGCCGAGGCGGCCGACACCACGAAGGACTTCTTGGCCGTCCTGATCATCCAGCGGTTCTTGGCCTGCAGGGTCTCGGGCAGGGGCTCCAGGGTCACCTCCTCCAGCGGGATGATGTGCTGGCCGCGGTACTTGCGCCTGGCGAGCACGATGCTGCCGTAGACCAGGATGTCGCTGAACAGGAAGAAGACGCGTGGCTTGGCCTTCTTGCGGCACTCCTTGGTCAGCACGCCCTCGCCCAGCAGCACCCGGCCCGGCAGCGCCAGCGGCTGCCCCGATGCCCCAAAGCAGCTCTCCACCTCAGCAATGCGCTGGCTGTTGATCTCGGTGTTGGCCAGATAGTCCACCATCTTCTCCGGCTGGGGAGGGGCGCACACAGGCGTCAGCGGGGGCCCGAGGGCAGGGCCACGCGGCCAACCCCAGTCACCAACCCCAGGTGTTGCCCGGAAGCCAACCCTTAGGCAAGGAACTACCGGGAGGTGAGGGGGTCCCCAGGGAGGGCGGGTGGAGCCGGCCAGGGTTGGGAGGGCAGCGCTAACGACGGGTGACACTACCTTGCCACTGTGGGTGGCGGAAAACCCCCCGGGCGCCTTGGAGGGCAGGGTAGACGCAACCGCAATACTGCCCGCCCACGAGACACGGGCTCCCAGAGCATGGACTCCCTGGCATGTCGGCCTATCGCAGGTGGGTGGGCAGGGCAATAAGGCGTCTGCACCCCCAGCCATCACAGAGCCCCCACCTTCCAACTGGAGGGTTACAGCCCCTGCGGCACCCACTCAGCATGAGTCCAGCGGCCACCACCAGCATCACCACAGCACCATGTGCTGACTGCCTCCATCTCCTCAAGCACGGCCCACCTCCCGCCGCCACACCAGCCCCAGCAGGTGGAGTCCCCCCGGGCAGGAGGGATACTCGGGCTCTGCAAGTAAATCCGGGGCCCAGAGCTTGCACCCCGGAGATGGAGCTGCTACATGCCTTCACCCAGGGGGGTGGGTCCCAGGCTGTCTTCAGCCAAGCACTCGGTGTCGGTGGCGCCAGATCTCACCCACGCCCGTCTGCTCTGTCCACTCACTCCTCCTGACCCAGCTTTGAAGACCACCCAACTATGGCCGACTCCCCAGGCCAGGCCATCAGTCCTGGCTTCTCCGCTGAGCTGCAGGCATGGACATTACCTGTCCAAGTGCCCCCCACCTGCTCACCTAAGACACTCCTCAAACCCGGCATGTCTGGCAGTTCTGTTCCACGAACGGAACCTCCATCCACCCAGTTGCTCAAGCACAAATCTAGACTCATCCTCGAGTCTCCTCTTTCCTGCACCCCAATGTTCAACCCCAGTAAGCACCATGATTTTGTCTCCTATCTAGCCCGTCTGCAGCCTCTCTTCTTACTACGGACTCCACATGGAATCCACAGCAAGGAGCCACCATATCGCGCCTGAAGTGGGCTGCCCTCCTTCCCGTGACCAGGCTCAGGTCTCACTTCCCTTTCTGAAAGGGTCTGACAGCCCGCTCACGAACCTCGCCACCCAGGGCAGATCAGCAGACGATGGCCTCAGGGTTGAATCTGGCCCACAGCCTGCTTTTGTAAATAAAGTTTTATTGGGACACAGCCACGCTCACTCATGTACCGTGGTCTGTGGCTGCTTTCGTGCTGCAGCAGCAGAGCTGACAGTGGTGGCAGAGACCATACAGCCACACAGCCTGACAGTTACTGTCTGGCCTCTCACAGAAAGTTTGCTGACCCTTCTCCAAGACGTCGCCCTGTTTTGCTTTATCCTCACATTATTTCTTCGTCTGTGCACCGCTTGCTTGCGTGTTTTGCGGCCCTTGCTCAGATCTAAGCTCTACAGAGCAGGAGCCTTTTCTTGTTCACTGCTGAACAAGCCCCGGGACTTGGAACAGGGCTGAGCACATGGAAGGTGCTTCGGAAGTGGCTCATGGTGACCTTTCCAAAGCTCCCGAGGGTCCACCATGCACCTCTCAGCTCTTTGCAGAGGAAGGTGAGAGCAGCCACCACCACGTGCTCGTGCACAGGCACACAGCGCCCCGACAAGCCCATCACACCCTCTGTTTCTGGGTCAGCGCGTTACGGTTCGGCCAGGCCACCTGTGGGAAGCTGGGGCAGGGCCCCGCGGGCTGGGCGGACTGCACAGGCGGGGCTCAGCCCGAGTAACGTAGGACCTGCCTCTCTCAGACCACAAGCCCTCCTCAGAAGCGCCGTCCACACCACCTTATGTAAGAACTGCTATTTTTAGGTTGCTGATCCTGGCTGTGTGCTGCAAACCTAGCTGACTATCGGTGACAGCCCTGGGCCGTCCTGCCAAGACCGATCACTGGTCCCTGCTGTGGACAATCTGGCCACATTCCAGAGGCCATGCCAGGACCTTTAGGCTGAGGCTGAGGCCCTGGGATGAGATGGATGAGGGCTCTGAGGGAGGTGCTCGGAGCGCAGTGGAGGGAGACATGCCAGGGGCAGTGGCTTCAGTCCCTACAGGGGAGAGCACGGGAGACCCAGCAGCAGGAGAGTGAGACGGCGGGGTCCACCCACACCATGGAATCGTGGCTGCTACCACAACTGCACCCCGCCTACGCGGGTCCACAAGCACTCACAAGACACTAAATGCCGAGAGGAAAAAGTCCCCTGCAGAAAGGTACACAGAGCACCACATACGTAGCTACGACAACCTTTAAAAAGTGTTGGAGAATTCTACCTATGAATAAAGGTGGCGAGGGTGGACCGTCACACCCATGAGGACAGCTGCTGTCAGAGGCAGGAAATGACAAGTGCTGGCAGGGACGTGGGGAAGTTGCACTGCTGGTGGGAATTAACCTGGTGTGGGCACTGTGGAAAACAGTGTGGAGGTTCCTCAGAAAAAAGATTAAAAATACAACTACCAGATGATCCAGCAATCCCACTTCCAAAGAACTAAAAGCAGGGTCTCAAAATGGTGTTTGCACACCCTGTTCACAGCAGCATTACTCACAACAGCCAAGAGGTGGGGAAAATCCGAGTGTCCAGCAACGGATGAATGGATAAGCGAAATGCGATCCACGCACACAGTGGAATCACTCAGCCATAAAAAGGAAGGAAATCCGGACACGGGCTACGGCATGCGCGAACCTTGCAGACATTACGCTCAGTGAAATAAGCCAACAGAAAAAGAGAAAGACTGTGCAGTCGATCCTGGCAATATGAATTCCTAAAAGCAGGGAGCTGGAGGTGGTTATCCGGGGAGGGGAGGGAGGCCAGCTGTTATTTCCTGGGTGTGGACTTTCAGTTTTGCAAGGAGAAGAATTCTGGAGACCTCTTTCCTAGCAAGGGGAAAACAACACTACGACCTGCACGCTTCAAAATGGCTCAGGTGGTTAAAAAAAATATCATTGGAAAGTGGCCTGGATGGAACCAGGAAGAGGGGATCGAGCAGGCCTTTACTGACAATATTTTATTTCTTTTATTCAAAAAAAGCAGCAGCAAACATGACAACATTCAACCAGTGGATTCTGGGAAGTGGGAACATGATTGTCTTGGTCTCTCTCTGAATGTAAGGTCCTCAAAAAGAGACTCACAATGCCCGGCTCAAGAGCTCTGAGCTTTCCTGGCGGGGGGTACCCTGAGGGCAGGCCTTGCATGGGCATTAGGAGTGGCCTGGGCCACCTGTGCCACGTGCCCAAGGGAGGACTGCCACCTGTGTCCTCTAGCACAGCTGTGGGTCAGCGCCTGGCAGACCTAGATGGGAACCCCAGGTTGCAGACTAAGGCCTAACACACAGACAGACTTGGGGCACAGAAGAGCAGGAGCGGGCAGCCCCCACAGCCCTGTGGGGTCAGTGAGCTCTGGAGGCTGGCTTGCCAGGTCCACCTGTGCCCATGTGACCAGGTGGTGTGGGCATGGAAGAAGTAAGGAGCACACCCAGGGAGGAAAGTGTTTCGGGAGGGGGGCATGTCTTCAACACTGTCTCTCCATCTCCATAGGGGCCACCAAGACACCCCACGCAGGACCCCCACACTACTCTATCCTCAGTCAGTGACTTACAGACCCTCCAGGCCTCAGTGGCCCCTGTCCAGCACCGGTCGCAAAATGTGGCCCAAGAAGAGGAGGGGGTACCTGGTGGTGATGAAAGAGGTCTGGGCTCCCAGCTGGTCACACTGATTGGGCTATCTAGAAGGCTCTGTGCCCCTCTCCTCCGTAAGCCTGCAGTGGGTCCTAGGCTGGGTGAGGGGCTGGGCAGACAACATCCTCCCGGTGGCTCCCCTCACATCCGCCTGCCCTCCCCGTGACCGTAACTTCACACCCTGGCTTGACATGACCTAGAGGTTTTTCTTGGTAAATACAGCAGTCCCCCGCCCCCTGCAGCAGATGGGGAGGCCTCTTTTTTTACTGTTCTCACCAGAAGAGTGAACGTCCGTCAGCTCAGGGGAGGACAGAGCTGAACTGTCCTCACAACTGCTGGGGACCCCGGTGTGGCCCCAGGGTGCTGGCAGAGGGTGGATACTCCTGAGGGTCAGCTTCTGGGAACAGGAAAATGAACAGACCTGTTCTTCCCTGAAGGGTTCGGGAGGGTGGCAGGCTCCTGGGCTGGCCCCCAAACCCTCGTGATCCAACCACCTAAGCTGGGCCAGCAGCTTGGAGTGAGTGCTGGGGCTGGGAGCCAAGCCCCGAGTGCGCGGAGTTCTGTGCTTGGCAGCTGAGGTGTCCCACGTGACCTCGGCAAGTCTGACCCACTGCGAGCTTTGCTGAAAGCAGTTTGCGGAGCACAGCCACGTGTGGCAGCCACCGGCTCACAAAGCCTACAGTGTTCATTACTTGGCCCTTTGCAGGAAACGTTTGCTGTCGCTCATCTACAGTGCCACATGCTGTGGCAGGATGTGCCACTCCAGGGGTGCGCCCGACGCTGGGCTGTGTCCTGGGGGAGCTGTCCCCTCCTCTCCTCCACTCACACACAGCCTCTGGAATTCACCTAGAGGGATGTCTGGATCCGCATCCTGGGAACCTGGGAAGTAGGGTTGGCAGGGGGCCTGAGTCCATCCGTCTGACAGAGTTACAGTTGGGGACACTGCTTGTCAGAGGGTAGTACCTGGCTAAGGTCACAGAGGTAGGGAGTCAGGACTATCTCCTGACTGAGACTGATTATCACCTACCCCTCCATCCCCAAACAAGTCCCCCACGTCCAGGCCTGCCTGACTTCACCTTCCAGATATCCACTGGTGTCCTGCCACATGCCAGGCACAGTCCTACTGAGCTGGCACGTCATAGCAGGGAGCGAGGGACCAGGCCCTCAGTAACAGACTTCCTGGTGGGGGGAGTTTACTAGAAAGCGAATCAACCAGGTAACTTCTGATGGCCAGTGCTACACACCATG